GTGCTTGAGTGTGCCTGTTTGCACGGCAGCAAGTCTTCGTTTCTTAGATTTTTGTCAGTGTGATAGGTTAAAGAGAGGCATGCCAGGTGTGAAATGGACAACCCGTTGTCCCAGCATCACTTACTGAGCACTCACTCTTTGCCTTACTCTTTTAAAATGCCAGCTTCATCGTTTGCTTAATTCTTATATTTACTGGGGCTGCTTTGGGACTCTTTGGCTTTACTGTGTCTAATTTTGTACCAGAACCCACTATTTTAGTGATTCAGCTTATGAACATGTTTTTACTATCTTAGATGGTAGTTCTCCTCTTGTTATTCTTGTGTGATATCACATTTTCATTCTTTTACATGCACTCTATAAATAGTTGGTCCAAGTTTCAAATATCCAATGGAAATTTGTATTGAAATTGTTTAATTTATAGGTAAATTTAAGATAATTCTGCAGATAAGTTGGTCTTTTACTTTATGTTTTACCATATTGCATCTTCTGATCAATTTATTCAACAGATATCTATTGAGAACTACCTGTATGCCAGGCACTGTTCTAGGCACTGGGAGGGTATATCAAGAAACAAAGCAGAGGAAGATCCCAGCCTCCATGAAGCCAACACGGTAGTTCTCTGAAAAGCCAAGGAGGCCGGCTGGCGTGGCTCAGTGGTTGAGCCTAGACCTATGAACCAGAAGGTCATGGATCGATTCCTAGTCAGGGCACATGCCTGCGGTGCGGGCTCATGTGGGGCATGCAGGAGGCAGCCGATCAGTGATGCTCTCTCATCATTGATGTTTCTGTCTCTCTCTCCCTCTTGCTTGGAAGTTGAAACACTTATTTATTCAATCTTCTGGCTTTCTTAAGTTCTGAAACACTTTCCGTCATCATCTCTTCAAATAGTTCCTTTCCTTTATTCTCAACATTAGCCTTTGTCCACATGTGAGGGACAGTGTATATATTAAGAATATGAACTCTGCACCCTGGCTGGTTTGAGATAGAGTGTCAGCCTGCGGACTGAAGGGTCCCAGGTTCCATTCCAGTCAAAGGTGCGTATCTTGGTTGCAGGCTCAATCCCTGGCCCTGGTTGGGGCGCTTCGGGAGGCAACCAATCAATGTGTCTCCCTCACATCGATGTTTTTCTCTCTGTGTCTCTCCCCCTTCCTTCTACTCTTTCTAAAAATCAATGGAAAAAATATCCTCAGATGAGGGTTAAAAAAATAAAAGAGACAGAATATGAACTCTGCAGATTGCTACATGGATTTGACTTTACCTCTACGCTTAAATTAATAGTTGAGGAACATGACTTAAACTCTATCCTCAGTTTTCTCATCCATAAATTGGGCATAATATTACTATACACTTAGGTTGTTATGATAATTAAATGAGTTAATATATCGGGTATCCCAAAAATGTATACATACACTTTGTATAATTATAAAGGCAGTGTTTATTAAAATACATTTCATTTTCAAAACTGAGCTATCTGCTGTTAAAGTGTGTATACACTGTTTTTGGACACCCTGTATGTAAAGTGCTTAAGACAGTTCCTGGCACGTGGCCATCTCTATGTAAGTCCTAGTTATCAGTTCCCGGATGCCCCGGAGACCCCACACCGACACCAACATGTTCACCTCAAGATCATTATTACAGGTTTACGAGAAGGACCCGGCTTTGTCTCAGACCCTAGGGATGCATTTCTGCCAGCGTCTCCATGGTGGTTAGTACTATTTTGGACCTTCTCATTCTATTCTCTTCCTTGTAACCTCAGTCTCCTATTTTTCATGTATGCATTCTGGGTGGTTATGTCAGATTTACCTCCTGGATCCCTACTGCATCTGCTGGTTTACTAATTAATCTGTTATTAAACTCTCGCACTGTGTTTTTAATTTCAATCACTGTGTTTTTTATTTGTAGATATTCTATGGAGATCTTTCAAATCTCCATACTTGTTTTTGTAGTTTCCCATTCTTTTGTTATTTTTAGTCTTTCTTTACGCACTTAATAATCTAAAACATAATTATACTGCCTTTTCAGGCTTTTTCTTATTGCAGGTTCATGGAGTATTAGTTCTTCTGTTTGCTTATCAGCTGATTTTGCCTCACCGTGAACCATTTCTTTGAGCAGATTATAATTTCTATGTGATATTCTAGGGAAGCAGAAATGATCCAAACTAATTTAAGATTGGTGATATTTTAAACAGAAGCCCTGTGCTTCCTGGGTTGTGAAAGTTTTGGGATTTACACCACAGCATAGGAAGTGTGAACTTGGACTCCACGGCCATGGTGCCAAACTGGGACTGACATTCTTTCTGGAAATCCGCCCCCCCCCCTTCTCCCACCTCAAGATTGTTTTGTATTTCCCCAGACTGGTTGAGTTTTCCAGCCCCATTCCAATGAGTGGGGTCCCTGGTAGAGCCTGAGCTTGGTGCAGGAGCTCAGACCAGGCTGCGTCTCCTGCCCTTGCGGACGCCAACGCCTGTGCTGGCCTCTGCGGTCTGCCCTCTGCTGTTCCGCATCTCTGGGCACCGGCTGACAGTTTATTCCTGCAGCCCTCATATCTCTTCATTTTTGACACCTGAGGAAATTGAAGCTCAATTATGTATTTAATTATTTCATATTGTATTTAATTATTTTATATTGTATCCAGCATTTCCATGCATTTGGAGCTAGGGGTGGTGGCAGTGGTGGGTTCTGTGTGTGTCTGCCATGATCTTTTATTTAGGATTTTTACATCTAGAGTGACAAACAGATTAGTCTGTGATTTTATTTTTGTTTCATCTTTGGCAGGGTTTGGTACCAGGGTTATGTGTTATTCATCAAATTAATTAGGAAGTTTTCCTGCTTTCTCTATCCTCTGGAACATTTTAAGTAGCATAGAAAATTTCTGAAATTTCTGTTCCTTGAAGGTTTGAAATTTCCCAGTGCAATCTGTGTGAGGACACCGCCTCTGGGGGAGAATGAGGGTTTTCTGCTGGTTTCTGTTCAGCTTTTCTAGTTCTTAACTGTTTGTATAACTTCTGCTTCCTTAGACTATCATACATTCTATCAAGATTTTTAAATTTACTACCACAGAATTTCACATGGTATTCCTATATTTTAATAATTTCTTTGCTTCTCTAGTTATATCTTTTTCATTAATGTTGTGTTTCTCTCTCTCTCTCTTTTTATGAATAGACTTTACCAGGCAGTTGTATATTTTATTGGCATTTTCTAAGACACAGCTGTTAAATTTATTTATTCATCCTACTATTAAACTCTTAAAAATCTCTACTTCCTCCTTTCATCTTTAACTTCTTTTTAAGGTTTATTGTCTTGCTCTTTTTCTAATGTTTAAGTTGAATGTCCAAGTCATTAATTATTATTTTTTTCCTTAAGAATAAAACACTTGAAGCAATAAAATTTCCTCTGAGCACCGTTCTGGTCACATTCCATAAGTTTTCGTGTGCAGTTGTCATCATAATTTTTCATACTGTAAAATTGCTATTTTGATTTCCTTTTTTATATAAGAGAGCTGTTCAGGAGAGTATTTTAAAGCTTTTATTTTTTCTTTTGTTATTAATTTCTAGTCAGATATTATTGTATCCCATACATTTTTTAAAACTCCCATATTTTCATGAAATCTAAAATGATGCTGATTGTAATGCACACCGTTATTTTTGTACAACTAAGAAAGAGGGGAAAAGGCACTGCTAGTTAAACTCAAACATCCCATCAATTGTAAGATACACATTCCATATGTGCACACACATGCATGCCTGTATAAAATTAGTCTTGAAACTGTTTTTCAAATTTTCTCTTTGCTTGTTCATTTTCTATCAGCTTGATCTTTCCATTTCCGAGTGAGACCTGTTAAATCTCCCACTTTAATGGTGGATTGGTGAATTTTCCTCAGGATTGCCACTGTTTGCTTTATATATTCTGAGGTTTTGTTGGTAGACCCCTACGAGTTCCTAATTGTTATAAGAAATTTTTATATTGCTTTTTTTCTCATTATGTGGCATTCCTCCTTACCCCTATTAATTCCTTTTTGCCTTGAAATCAGTATCACCATGTCAGCTTTCCATTGGTTAATACTTACTGGCACCCCACTCTCCAGTCCCTTGTTCCCAGCCTTTGTGTTGCTTTTAAAAGGCGTGTTTTCCCCCCACCACGATTGATGGTCTTCATCTGGCAAGCAGTAGGCTCTCTATGTGTGTAAGCACCTGTTTGTGAAGGTGGCAGGAAACATGAGGAAGGACGGGCTGGGGAACCCCCACGCTTAGGTCTGAAACCCTGCTCTGCCCTCTACCAACTGTGGGCACTGCACACATTGCTTAACCTCCTGGGGCCTCAGTTACCCCATCTATAAAATGGAATAATAATGGTACCTGGCTATATGCATATTTTGAGGATTAAATAAGCCAATACATGTAAAATGCTTGGACTGAGGCCTGGCACATAGGGAACATCACTAAATGTTAGATGGGCTTAATCCCTTAATATTTATTCCTCACTAATATTTTAGATTTATTTCCATTACCTTACTTATGGCTTCTATTTACTCACCTTTTTTGTACTCAGTCCAATCAATATATTTTTTCCTCAGTTGATTTGAAAATTATAGATTTTTCTCTGTCATTTAATTGAGTACTCTTAAAATGTTAACATACATATTTAACTATACATTTTTTAGCAAGTCTAAAGTTATCTCTTTCATCCTTCGAAATAATCAAGTGTCTTTGCATGCTGCACACTCTCCCTCCATTTTTCTACTTAGACTGTTAGTCAAGCATTTAAGGATTTTTTTCTATCTTAATACCAAAAAATGCATTATTAATAAGTAGAGTCAATAGTTCATTAAATTTGCTAACAAATTTTTACCAGTGTTCATGTTTTTTAAGTCCTGCTCCTTCTCTCTGGGTTTATTTTTCTTGCAGAAATGTATCCTTTAGCATTCTTTCATTTTAGGTGGCAAAAGGTCTTTATTTTGCCTACATTCTTGAATAATGGAATAAAGGACCTTCATTTTCCTACAGTGCTTACCAAAACACGACCATCTCCATCGTCTTCCGGGCAGCTCCTGAAGCGAGGATGTCTGCTGTTGTTCTAACTGTTGGTAGGTAATGTCTTTTCTTTCTGGTAAACTTTAAGATTTGTCTTTTCGCTTTTGGTATTCTGGAGTTTTACTAAGATGGGTGAATTTTTTAAAAAAATGTTATTATCCTGCTTAGCACTGTGTGTACATTCTCAGTATAAGAAATCATGTGTTTCTTCAATTCTGGAACATTCTTAGCCGTATCCCCTCAATGTATTGATTTTTCTACCAGTACCCCCTTCTTTTCTTCCGGAACTCTGTATTAGATGAATGGGTGATAATTTTTAACAATTGCATAGGATTTCAGAGTTTGAATAGACCAAAAATTAATTAAACATTTTTCTACTAATAGCAATTCATATTTTTCCATCTTTTTTCTATTACAAACAATGCTGTAGTCAGCATTTTAACCTCTCTCTTTTTTGTTAGATTCTATTTTTATTGCATTATAGTTAGGTAATGCCTTCTATTGGGATTTTTTTCTATAGTCTAATGTAAGCCCATTTTTCTAAATAGTCTAAGAGAGATTGAGAAAACTATTCTGTTTGCTGAGAACAAAGGTGTGAGAGGGAGCGTCAGATTTTTATTACTGAAATCTTTAATATTCTCACTTAATTTTGTTTGTGTAATTTGTTCATTTACAAAGTGTTGACACCTTTATGACTGGGGATTTGTCAAGTCCTTTTGGCCTAATCATTTGCTTTCTAGACTCTGAAGCTACGTCCTGAGACATAGTGGTGCCTGTCCTAGAGGTCACTCTGCAGGGCTGACCCCTGGATCCCCCGGAAGCCTCATGGACCTCTTTGTGGGCCCTTGGGCTCCCCCTGTGCCCTGATCCCTGAGTGGCTGCCCTGTCGCCTGTCCTGTGCCCTCTGCACTGGGCTTGCAGGAATTCCTGGCTCTGCCTGGTTTGCGGTCCCCACCCCCCTCGTGGATACAGGCTCCACCCATCCCTCCATTTTTACATTTGTTTGATCCTTTCCATGGAAATTGGCAGGGAAAGAAATTAGACAAATGGTGCTCGTTGCCATTCTTAACACAGAAGTCCCTTTCCTTCTGCCAGCTGCTTTTCTGAGCACGCAAGCTCTTTCTCTTACTCAGCTTGATCTCCTTCCCTAGCTCCAGCCGCCCCATGTGCATGAGTTCATGGCAGGAAGGATCATTTTAGCACCTCTGGTCCCTGTGTGGGGACACAAGCCTGTGGGGCTAGCAGCCTGGGCTCCTTCCAGGCGGAGGCTCCCTGCTTTCTGCTTGTCGGCCAGGCCGGGAACTGTCTCTGCAGGTGGATGGTAGCGAACGGACCAACAGTGGGCGTCTGCTGCCCCTGCAAGCAGCCCAGCCCTGCAGCGGGTGCATTACTACGTGACCCTGTCAAGTTCCCACATGAAGCCCTGAGAACTGCTAAGAGGAGGAGCCTCAGGTTACGCACCGTGTGCATGGTCATCCAGTCGACCAGTGGCCCAGCGGGATCTCTAACCCAGTCCTCTATTCCTGGCCTCTTGGTGAATTTCAGCTGGCGCAGAGCTCAGCATCCCCCGGAACCCCTCTCCTCTTCCCCAGGGGAGGTTCTGTGGGCTCATTGCTCAAGGGACAGTCCTGTTTCCCACGCTGGACGTCAGGAGAGAGGCAGTGCCCACTGCCCAGCCACATTCTGCCTGCAGCCTGCCCGCCCCTGCCCCCAGCCTCCTGGGGGACGCCTGCTCCTTTGGCAGATGTTTCTCCAGTGCCTCTGCCTGGGTAGAGTGGGTGGGTGGAACAGTTGCCTCCCACAGATCTGTTCACCAGCAGCCAGAGTGGGTCATTTTAAACAGAAAATTACCTGCATCCCAAAGGGAGAGGTTTGTGCTCATCCCACCAGAGTGCCGCCCCTCCCTTCCCTGCCCGCCCCTCTTTCAGTTCTCATCTCCTGTCCTACACAGGGGCCTTCCTTTGCCCAGGCCAGTGCCCAATACCCTAGCTGCAGGACTGTCTGCCTCACTGGGAACTCTGTGAGGGTGGCACGTAGTAGGTGCCGTGCTCAGCGAGGGTTTGTGGAGGAGGGGGGAGGTGGTGAAGGTGGAGGGAGACGGAGAAGGCTGTGGAAAGAGGAGGAGAGAGGAGGGTGGGGGTGCTCCTGAGCCAAGCTCCAGGCTCTGCCTGTTCCGAATGCCCTCCTTTGCTGCACTGTTCCCAGCGGGTGCCAGCTCTGAATGCCTGTTTAAGTCACTCCACGAAGCTCAGCTTCTCAATCTGTTTTGTATTTGCAAGGGCCAGATTCATCTTCCTTTTTTAAAAGTCAAGCTTCTGAAACAGTCATTTAAATTCACAATGATTCTTCTCTAAAATAGCTGCTCTGAACGGGGCGTTTGGAGCCGTGGTTCTCGGGGACTCTGCCAGGAGACATGCAGGCCACGCAGAGACACCTTGGCGGTGCTCGCTGTCGGTGACGGGGGGCTTCCAGGGTGGGGGCTCCCAGGGTGGGGCCAGCTTCAAATAAGGGGGGAGGCGTCGGGCTGCAGTCCATCTCGCTTCCCGAGGTGACCTGTGCATATTGGACCCGCTCTCCTGGGAAGGAGAGAGCTGGTTCAGCGGCCACTCCAGATGTTTGTCTGCACTGAGATTAGACATTGCAACACCTACACCTTGGAATATTCTGGACAATTAAAAGCAAGAGGTAGATCTGTATCTACTGCCTGGGAAACATGTCCAAAATGTATTGTTAATGAAAAAGCAGACTGAGCACTATGTACATGTATACCATTTCTGGCTAAAAAACACATACGTGCAAAAACAGCCACAGCTATATATTCACTGTTTACATATGTGTACGTACAATCTTGCATCTAGAAAGAAGTCTGGACTAGATTAGGGTAGCATTCAAAGGGATCTTTAATTGTATTGTTTGAAGTTTTTTCCTATGAGAATGTATTTCTGTGTATGTGTGTAATTTAAAGAGATGTATGGATTTAGAATTGGGAATGTACATCACTTATCCTGAGCTTTTGGGATTTTCATCTTTCTTTCTTTGAGTGATGATGTTGAATGGCTTATGCAATGTTTATTGGACATTCCAAAAAGTTTTCTGACTGATGCTTTATATGTAAATTATATTTGTAGTTTAGGTCAGAGGTAGAAAATGTCTACTTAAAAATCAACATAGTAAATATTTTAGGTTTTGTGTCCCAAAAGATCTCTGCTGAAACTGTTCAACTCTGCCACCGTAATGTGAAGCAGCCATAGATAATATGAAAATGAATGGGCATGGCTGTGTCCCAATAAAACTTTATTTACAGAAATAGGTGGCCTGTAGGATTTGACCTATGGGCTGCAGTTGGCTGATCCTTAAGGCACAGAGCGATATGAAATAGAGAAAAATAGTAAATGGAAATGTGTTAGGAATTTAATCAGAACTATCATGTTAAAAGGCTAGTTTGAGGATCTGCAAAATTTGAAAAAAACAAAAAGCATTGCTTTTCTCAAGCACTGAACTGTAGCCTCTTCCAGCGAGGCTGGAGCTATGGAACCCAGGAGAAAGGCCTGTGAGGGTGTCCTCTGTGCTTTGGGGGGAGCTGGCCCTCTGGATCCTGTGCGAGTCTGGGAGGGGCCTGAGCTTGCACACGGTTGGCACTTTGATGATATGAACAGGGCTCCGAGTGACCTGCCCAGTGAGACAGAGGACAGGGTCAGACTTGGGGCCTACGAGTGACCCGTAGGTTTGGGAAGAGGTTAATGGCGTCCCTGTGGCTGGATGCTGAGAGCCTGGCCTCTCCCGGGGCCAGCCCTGGCCCTCCCGGGTGGGGTGTCAGAACCACCAACTCCAATTCTCAGGGTTAGGGGCTGAGGTTAAGCACCAGGGGCTGCAGGACAGGCAGGACCCGTTAGCCCAGCTATGTAGGCCACATGAATTAGTCTCATGGCTGCAGATGGAACATTCGTGTCTGGGACTGAGCACCTCATGCTCCATGTTGGCAGGAGGGTCAGGGACCCCTAGGGTGTGTGCGTTTTCTCTGCTCCACCCCCACCAGCTGCAGCCCTCCATGCTGAAGCGCAGGGCGAGTGTGTGCCTGAGAGTGCACACGAGCATGGCAGAGAATAGTCACTAAGAGGTGAGGACGGAGAGTCCCTCCTTCCAGCCTCATGGGGAGAATTCTGTTCCCCTGACGTTTCCTGGGCCTGTGTGTGGTCAGGGTAGTGAGAAGAGGCAAGGCAATCCTGGTTCTGGAGGGAAGAGGGTGCACGCCTCCCCAGGGAAGAGCAAAGTTATCACAGCTGAGAAAAGAAGGGAGTGGAAGGTGAGAGAGACAGTGGGCCGAGCCCTGAGGCTGGGTGTGAGGGGAGAAGAGACTGAGTGTTTGGGGAGAGGGAGGAGGGGACTGGATGGCTGCTACGCATACTTGTGAGGTCTCAGGTGGGGAGGGAGAAAGGGCTCTGACAGGCAGCTGGGTGTGACCAGTGGGATTTTGTTATCCTAGTGAGTTTCAAGAATAGATTTAGTTGGAGGTTGGTTGTTAAGTGAGTATTTTTCTGAAAGGAACCTCAGCAATGCCAAAGTCAGTCTCAGGCCAGGCCCTTGCGGTCACAGGGGTGAGTGTGGTGTGTGTGTGTGTGTGTGTGTGTGTTGCTCATGCTCAGGTTTGGACAAACCAAGGCTAGCCCAAATGGGTGCAGCCAGCACCATTTCACCTTGAAGAATGGGGTTCATAGGGTGCATTCATTTTGTCTGTGTCCTGGCAGACAGTGTCACCCAGAGACCTTTTCCTGGGTCTGGGCCTGGCTGTGGGCAGGGCAGTGGGAGAAGCGATGTAGGAGAAAGCCTCAATGCAACGCCCACAGGAATTTCCTCCCCGACTGGAAGCCAGCCAATTCGCACCCTGGCACAGCGTGGAGGCTGGCACTGGCTGTTTGGTAACATCGTGGCGAGCGGCGCCTCGTCTCTATTTTGGTTCTGGCCACTGCCGTCTCTCCGCACCTTTCAAGAGTGTTCCTTCCTTCTGGAAGGCCAGGGTGCCAACTCCCCCAGCTCCTTCCTATTTTGGTAAATT